ACGTGTCCGTATATGTTACAGATAGTAATAATGCAATAATATCCGAATTGTCTGGGGGTTTAGTGGAGTCTGAACCACTGGACGAGACGGGATGGGCCGTTATGAAATCTGGGATGCCGTCGGTTCAACCATGGAACCGACTGTAGTTTGCTTGATCGAGCACTGCATACATCGAGCGCTGCCTATGGTAAGGACTTGCATCGGTAATTACTAGTAGAGGATATTTCTTTCATATGACCGATATAAAGTACCATTTTGCTCGTATACAGTATTCTCCGTGTTGCTGCAACTAATGATGGCGTTCATGCAGATGAACTGTACGAGGCATAGAAAATGTAGTCTAGTTCTGGAAGTCAAGCACATGGCGTTGCGCCCATCCAACCCAACCATGACACGCCAGCTGATGGAGGGGTGACCTAAGTTAGTTCCATCACCAGAGAGCTGTAAGGCAGCCAGTAAGATGTTTATGGAATCACACTATGTCTTAGTGGCGACATTCACGCCTGTTTTTTTTTTGCTTTACTCAGAGTGAGTCAGTCCACCAAGAGCCAGAAAAAGACTCGCTGGGCAGTTGCCTTGAGACCAGAAAAGTCAAAGACACCGAGAAAAATGCAGTTGTCCGCTGCCCGATTCAACTGAGGGGCTATGAGCCAAGCGGTTTGCATATAGCGTCCAATGGAAGCCTCTCCATCTGGACTAGCTTGAGGGGTAGTGACATCGAGACTTGATGGTACTTTGGTTATGGTAGATTCAAGAGTGAAATAGAATGTACCAGTTTCTACTAGAGTGGTGAGCCGATTGTATTTGCAAGGTTGCCACCCGAAGTTGAGTCATAATATGCAATTGCTGAGCTCGAGCGCAAGCTATAAAAGAGACGGACTACCGTCCAGAAGAAGGGAATACTATATTTAATTTAAATAAACTGAATTTCAGAGGAAATAAATATAATACCTTGAAATCCAAGAATTTCAATACCTGTAAGAAAGAACCCTAAAGCCACAGCCCACAACGCCAACTCACACGCGCCGACCACTAGCGGATGCACTGATTGGCCTGCGCCAATATCGCCGGCGCTGACATTAGGATCCATCTTCCTTTTTCCCTTTGATCGGGTTGAAATTTTTCTCTCTCCACCTATCTCCACTGAATTCAAAGCCATTACATCTTTTGGAGCGGAGGTCTCTCTGCTCTTTGTTTTCCTCAATCTCCTTTTATATCAATAGGAGATCTTGGGTCCCAGGATCCCCTAAACGCACTCTCTCTCTTTTCCTCGGATTGACCGAAGAACGTTCAAATGCTCTCTCAGCACATTCAGTTTCAACCCTCCTCTCTTCGATCAGAAACCGTACCACGGTGACGGTCCTACTATCAAAAAAAAATCCTATCTGACCTGCAGTTCTAAAGTCGGCGTCGATTTTTGTTTGGGTGCACGATATCCTGTATAATATACTCGGTGTTCTTTTTTTTTGGCTGATTTCATTTAACTACCTTTTTGGATTGTTTGCATTTTCGGCTTGTCGCCTCCCATTTTACATTTATCTGATCGACTGGTGCTCCATATGCTCGTGCGATAATGTATCATTACTCCAGTCCACCACCCGGGTGGTCAACCTACGACTACACCCAATCACCTCCCACATCACCTCAATACGCCTACTACGCCTCTCAGTTCGCCAACTCCTACGCTTCACCCCGGGGCACCTCGCGACGACACAACCGCAAGGCCAGTTACACGGCCACCAAAGAAACACCATGGTATTCATCGGGCTACCCACAAGGCTACTATGAAGCAACCCCAGACTATGGCATTCCATCGCGAAAGCACGATCATGTAAGTGCTTCTTTTGCGGGAAAGCCCAAACACCACCGATATTCCTCGACCGGTCATCCTACGGGGGATGGCCTCGGCAACGGATATCACCCATCGCAATCGCAGACTCGACCCATCTATGTAGATGTGGTCGACGAAGCATTCGATGTCCCGCGCACCAACGCCCGCGAGTCCCATACCGGTCGCCCAGGCTATCCCCCGGCCTCGAACCCCACTCAAGATGGCTCTGGCCAACATCGTCGCACCACCTCGACCTCTTACCGCAAATCAAATCCAGCTGATTCTCACTTTTACTTCACTCAGGCTCCTAACAACGAGGATATCGAAGCGGCCAGACGCTCCCGTACCAGGCGCCAATCCACATCAACCCGCACTCCCAGCAAACCTAAACCCCCTCCTGCTACCGCCAAACCGCCACCCACCGCCACTGAAGATGATGCCGAGGCCGCAGGGATTCCAGCAGGCTATTCGATCAAAAACTGGGACCCAACCGAGGCGCCGATCATTTTGCTTGGTAGTGTGTTTGATGCGAACTCTCTCGGAAAGTGGATCTACGACTGGACCGTCTTTCATCATGGGGCATCGACTCCCATGGCCGACGTCGCGGGCGACTTGTGGCTATTGTTGATTAAGTTAGCGGGAAAAGTAAAGAGGGCCGACGAATGTCTCCCTCGCATTCAACGTGTGGAGGCGCAGGAAGTCGTTGAAGACTTCCTGGAAAGTGGCGAGCGCCTCTGGTCCCGATTTAAGAAGCTCCTCAAGGGCTGCGAACTTTATATGTGGAAGGCCGCCAAGCGAGAAGGCGGCAAAGGGCCCGTATCGATGGGTCGCAATGCAGGTTGTGAATTTGTCGAATCGATTTTCGGTCGCGACCGTGAGCTTGAAAATACAGAGAAGCTCATGAATAGTATCCGTCTCTGGAATATGCGATTCGACGCCAACTGCGAAGAAATTCTGCGCCGACCGACGGCTGCTTAGGATGTTTTCTTCATACGTTTTTCTTCTTCTTTTTATTACCGACTGCCAGGGAACGATACCCCCCAAAGAGACAGATTTTCCTACTACTGCTTTTCTTATCTACACTTGGAGAATTTGACATTTGTTGAATCGCATTTGGAGCGTGTTGCTTTGGCCTCGGCTGGATTTGCTCGTCGCATTTACTGTCTGTTTTTTTGATCCATCGGCAAATGTTGCCCTGGGTTCAACACAAAAGATCATCGTTTTTGCTTTTTTTGCGTCTTTTATTGGTGCCGGCGCCTTGCGTTTGAAATCGTTTCCTTCATAGGATGGCGCCCTTCTGATCTATTCTCTTCCATTTCTGGCGTCCTTGTTTAATCATTTCATTTCTGGCCGTCAAGTCCGTTCTGTCTTGCCGTTTAAGTCCGTGTCACTCTGCTTCGATGATACCATCTTGCGATTTCTTATATACGTGCTTGTTTGTTTTTTGCTCTTTTATTTCCTTTGTCACTCGCATTACAGCTGTTTGCTATCTCCCTGTCCTTTATGCTTGGTTTGATATTGGTTCGGAGGAACCGGGTTGCATATAGAACCAGCACGACCCAAACGTCCCATAGACCACCCCGACGCTCGTTAATAATTTCTTATTCTGTCATTTGATATCCATCTCAAGTCTCTCCAGTGTAATGTAAGAATCAATACTATTTCCACGTCGTCCAAATCCACCAAAAACCCAAAACAGGCTGTGATGTGATAGCCCTGGAGCTACCCCTCACCCCAGCGCCTGCGCAATGCAAGTACCTACATCGCACAGTGTGGATCACTACCCCGCCCCGTAGAACCATAGAAAGCGCATATTACCGCCCCGTGGGAAGCCGTTGGTTGTTCAGTTTTTAATATATGCAATAGCTATTTGATCGTTCACTGGCTGTACGCCCTTCAAAGCAGGTACTATCACTCCGATGATGGCGGCTGATGTCACATTTCATATAAGTGTAGGTCCCGGCGGTTGGACCAACTTGCGTTTTTCTCATGCAGGTGATCGCAGCTGCTATTGGCTTATGTTTCCAAATGCAAATGCTGCATGCACGTTGGTTGGGGGTACCCGAGGATGTGGCGACCCTATCACAGCTGAGGGGCAGGGGTGTGGGGGGTTGCGCGCATGAAATCTGGATTTGTCTTGGGTTGCATGGTGATCCTGGGTTTGAGGCATTAATCTAAAAAGGATGGTGATGGCTATCAAATAGAATTATGGTGGTTGATATTAAGGTGTTGGATTTAGTATGGATAGAAGCTTTGGTGGAAGTGATACTCTTGATTTCGCTGGGTAGATGTTTAAACATGTGTTATCAGCCAATTATTAGCTTATATATTGGCTAAGACTTGGTTTACAAATCTCCTTCTTGATTTGTAGTCATGCCGAGCTTGTGAGACGTTCACTTTGAAGGTTGAGCGGGAGAAAAGAGCCGAGCGGCTGTATCATAATATGTAGTGGACACTCTTAGGAGACATGAGATGGAAATAATGACCATCTGACCTTGATATGAAAGCATAAGCCTATGGAATTGCCTAGGGGAGAGGCCATAAGATTACCTACGTTATATTATAGCTAGGGCCAGCTCTAGAGGTGGATTGCAAGTCCATGTGGCCATGCAACCTTATTTGCCCTGTCAGACCTATTTTGGTGTTTCTTAGAATAAATTTGCCAAACTTGTTCAAAACCCTCATACTCAATAACTTCAGTAGTTCAAATGTTTTTTTATTGTTTTGACTTGTTGAAGAATAGTGATCCATGGATGACGCACGTGGGATGGTCACGGGACCACCAGCTGTCAGAGATGATCGTTGACATCATTTGCAGTACACTGCTACTTACCCAGGTAGTGCTTGAACCCTCGAATTAAGATGATTAGCTGAGATATTTCTCAAGTCAATATTTTCAAAGACCTGCTTGAGAGTCAACAATTACTCAAAATCCTATCCGCCATCTCCGCTCTCCTGGTGCAATCTCACCCTACCGGGGATAGATGAGGATGCGCCCCTTGAAGTTCGCCTTAGCTCAAATTTGGTTCCTGGCAAGTGACGCGGTGCTTTAAGACATCTGCAATTTATAGTCTCAGATCTCAAAGGACCATTCGACTTGTGATTGCCCCCGATTTGGGCACATGGTCATGCTAGCTGAACGATGCAACATGGATCTACGAAAGTTGAAATGACCACAGACAACAAGTCTCATGGGCTATCCCCATGGGAATGGATCCGGGGCCAATTTTATATGAGACCACCTGAAGATGACGAGCCACAGTCATGGTGGATTGCGTCGACGGCCATTCCGCTGGTTGCCGCTACAACGGGACCACTCGCCAATGTCATGTCAATCGTTGCGCTTGTTGTGCCATGGCGAAGCAAAATTCTTTCGTATGAAGAAAGCGCTGCTGGAACTTTCATTCAAGAAGGATATCCGGACCCTCGTTGGTGAGTCCACAGCACGAGGGTACCCTGAACTTGGTTTCTCTAACACCACGGATAGGGCTACTGTCCTGAATGCCGTTTCACTTTTCTGCGGAATCGTGGGCAATGCATTTTTACTGTTCAACTTTACCCAGATAGTCCGCTATATTATAGCTTTGCCTGTGACGATCATTTTGTGGTTCATGGCCGCGGGAATCGTGAGTAACGTCTCTAATTTTTCATGTCCTAGACCTAACGCTTGCTTGTAGCTGTGTGGAATTACGATAGCCACAGATATCTATGCTCCTCCCGTAGGCATTGATCGGGTCTACTCGCAGGCTTATTGGAGTGCCATCATTGCGGCAGTCCTTTACTTTATCTTGAGCGTCATCTTGATGATCAACATGCTGGGCTATTTCCTGGGTAAATACCCGCAACATTTCGCGCTTACCGACGAGCAACGAACCTTGATTTTACAAATGACTGTATTGGTTGTTTGGCTGTTAATTGGCGCAGCTATTTTCCAACGTGTCCTCGGCATCTCTTTCGCCGATGCATTGTTCTTCTCCGATGTCACCGTTCTCACATTAGGGTATGGCAACATAATTCCCATTGATGCCGTCGGGCGAGGTCTCATTTTGCCATATGCAGTCATTGGAATTATCATTCTGGGACTGGTTGTGCAAAGCATCTTTAAATTCGCTCGCGAGGTTCACTACGACAATGTTATTCGGAAACACATTGAACAGAAGCGGCAATCCACTTTCGAGCGATCAGTCGATTTTAACGAGCTCGAACCTACTCAAGAGAACCCCCCAACTAATGGAGAAGTTATCACTCCTCCGGGTCTCACTCTCCCAAAATCCGAGCCTCATCGCCATCTGCATCGTCGGCCAATTCGCAACACGATCAACGCCCTTACCACGGTTCGCCGACCCAAGATCCTTATTATGCGTGAAGAAAAAGATCGGTTTGATGCTATGCGCCGTATCCAACACGACACTATGCGCTTCCGTCGCTGGAACAATTTGATCATCAGCATCGTTATATTCGGAATTGTGTGGTCCTGCGGAGCAGTGGTGTTCTGGAAATTGGAAACCATGACCTACTTTGAATCACTCTACTTTTGCTTCACCTCCCTGCTAACCATTGGCTATGGCGATTTCACACCGGAGTCGAATCCAGGAAGACCTTTCTTTGTGGTATGGTCTCTAATCGCCATCCCAACCATGACCATGCTCATTTCCGAGATGACCGACACAGTCGTCGCCGGCTTCAAGCGCGCCACTGAGGTAGTCGCCGACTACGTCGTGCTTCCTCAATCCCGCGTCTACAAGACATGCTTAGTTCGGATTCCCGGCATTGCCCAGTTCGTACTGTCTCGCCAAGAGAAAAAGCGGCAAGAGCGCGGTTTCCCACTTGAGGGAGCTGATGATCCCGAGAGCGGGGAAAGAGGGCACACTGAGGATAGTCAATCTAATACTGGAAGCGACGACTTAGCCGAGGCTCATCCGCACCAAAGCCTCGAGGAACTTGTTCGCGAACCGACCACACTTGAGCTTACCCAGCAACTTGCCTTTGCTATTCGCCGCACCTCAAAACAGGCACGAGAAGGAAAGCATAAACGATACTCCTATGAGGAATGGGTCGAATTTACCCGGCTCATTCAGTTCACGGATCCGCGAGCTCGGCCACCCTCACTGAGAAATCAGCCGACAAGTGAGGAAATTCTTGCCAATGATGAAGATGAATTTGGACTTCTCAATTGGGATTGGATTGGTGAGAACAGTCCCATGCTGGCAAAACAGACAGAGCCTGAGTGGGTTCTGGATCGGTTGTGTGAAAGCTTGATTCGGTACGTGTCGACTCAAGACAGTCCGGGTGTGGGAGGTGGTGCCGATTCGACGGAGGAGCCAACTCTGAGGAAAGAGAGAGATATTGGTATGGATGAATGAATACTTTGTATAGTTTTTCTTGTTGTTCACGTGTACATGTAGCCTGTATGAAGTGGTTTTTTGGTGCACAAAAATGATTGAGAGTTTTCTCGTGTATAATATTAGTGCTATATTGATACAGAAGGGAGTTTCCTTTCTAAAGGCGCTGAAGGACTTATACTCAAGTTCTCTCGGATTTTAAGACCGTCTTGAAATCCGAGACACCGGAGTACCTTAAATTTCGGGTACCAACATTATATTGTATTTAGTTAGGACGAACCTCATTGCATTAGCCCGATAGAGAATGTCTTGGTCTACTGAGAAGTAGTATATCATTGATTTGGTTAAATATAATTTATGTTCTATCAATATATTACGCTGTACGTAGCGCGGGCCAAAAGTTTGTATAGATGTACTTGATATAACCATTTTCGGGTCATATCACTAAGGGAAAAAAAAGGCATCTCCAATATAACATAGGTAAGACGTACCTAGTATAATATAGATTCATACTCTACTCAGAGATTGACGCATGTCTTCTACAATACGCAAAGCCACAGTCATCATCAGGTTTTGTGGAGCGGGGCTGTGTAAACTGCTGATGCCTTCTGAGGTTGAGGCTCCGTCTACTTACTTAACTACACCCTGTCTAAAATCTGCCAGGTTCTATCAAACACACAATATTTTTCCCTTCACAAACTGCACCCCAACAAACCAAGGATGACAACCAACATTCCCGAGATCCTCCTGCTCTGCATGGACAAAGACTTCATAACAGCCTTCAACGATGCCCTCGAAAAGAGCTGGCCAGACCACGACCCAGCAAAACTAAAGATCACCCCAATAAACGAGCGCCTCAACTCGCTCCCAGAAGGAACAACCTTCGACCTAATCGTCTCACCAGCAAACTCCTACGCCCGTCTCGACGGAGCCTTCGACCACGCCATCTCAATGACCTTCAGCCCACGCCAGGACTACCATGCTCTGACACGCGCAGCGCAGTCAGTTTTGTACGAGAAATGGCGTGGTTTTGCACCCCCAGGCTCGTCCACGCTTGTGGAGTTCCCAGATGACCTGAAGCAAAACAAATACGGCTGCGGATGGGTGGCTATCTGTCCGACGATGCGTGAGCCTGCGGATGTCCGCTGGGATAAGGAAATTGTCTATGAGTGTGTCTGGAGCTTGTTGTGTCAGGTCGAGGGACATAATCGAGCTGTGGAGGGGGAGGGGAAGATAGAGAGGATCCTTATGACGCCGTTGGCTGTTGGGATTGGGAATGTTACCAAGGAACGCTGGGCGGCGCAGACGGTGCTTGCGCTGAGGCAGTTTGTTGATGCTGTTGAGAGGCCTGCGAGGTGGAGTAATTTGGAATGGAATGATATTGACAAAGATTATACTGAAGTTGTGAGGAGTTGGGCGTTGTGAATTGTCAGTGTGGCCCCGGTGTTGGGCTTTGCTGGTTGAGGTTACTATGAGTTCAAATCGTGCAGAAGTGACGATTGGAACAGCGGTATTCTGAACAAGCGCAGTATCCAAAGTGTGTACTCCGGACTGTGAGAACATCTGCAATGCCCAGCATTATTGGTATACTGAGAACCGGTTCTTCGGTATGTCCGCGTTCTCCTTATAGCAGCGTGATTTGCTAGCCTTCATAGTCACCACCACTGGCCACCAATAGCACCAGATTTCCAACAAGGTTGCGTTTCGGAGAAATGCATGTCAGTAATATCGCTAGCGTTCAAAATATTCACAAGCTATATCTTTCCTGCGCATCCGTTGTGCTTCTGTAAGCCGGTGAATCATGGCTATCATTTTGTCTTGGCATTATGTTATAGATGCTTTTGTGGATGAGGGGTTTAAGCGCGAAGAATGTGGCTGTGTTTTGCTTCAGGTAGTGAAAGTATTGAGAGATTCCCAAGGTTGCGGCTTTGTCTTGCTGTCAAAAGGTGGTGGGGATTGAGTTTACTCGTACATTCCTGTGCCTCAATTGCCATTCATGTGGTAGAATAGCCGGAATATCAAGCTATTACCTATATAGGTATATCTTTTGATACATCCTGCTTGGCGACTATTGAACACCAAGGTATTCAACCATTTACCCGCCAAAAAGGAGCTTCTAGCGAGAATTCCAAATCTCTGTTATATCTACTATATAACAGCCCATTCTTTATCAATCATTGATCAACCCAGGCAAAGCAGCCACAAAGCGGGGCGAGGCTACCCTTGGAATGTGGCAACTAGGCAAGAGAATCATCATATCCCATATTTCACCTATTCATTCATAAGTCGTGTTCTTTTCATGGTATGCAACCCAGTGCTAGAAAGATCTGATGCATTTTAGGCTGCGGGTACTCGCAGGTTGGGGTATTGGCAGCATTTCCCATGCGAGGATCCCTTCCTGGCAGGATATGATGGTTCGCTTCGAACAAATCAGATACAATAGCGAGCCAGCAGAGCCACCAAATGGGCACCAATTTCTTCGGTGCAGATCAAAGTTTTTGTGACATACTTGGGGATTTTTGCCTCAAGCGCAGGAAGCGCCCGTTTTTCACTCTTATAGGAATTACATTCTGTGCGAACCTCATTTATTTCTCATATTTAGTACAGGAAGTCCACACAGACATAAAGATGGAGGGTATACATACATCCACGTGCTAGAAACTAAAGACTTGACCTCGCATTTCAAGACACTTAGGCTGCACCCAGGCCAACTACTCGCACAAGATGACAATCCAATTCCCAATCATGTCATTCGATTGTTTCCAGCCAAGCCCAGCCAAGAAATTTGTCTCCCTCACTAAGAACCCTCGGGTGACTGATGGGAAAATCAACACTGTCTTTCGCGAGCTCAAGCCCCTTCAGCCAGACGACCTGATCGGCGAATGGGACGGATATATTCTTGTCACGGGCCATCCATTTGAAGAAGAACTGGACACGCTCAATTGGTTCGGTAATACATTTTATTCCACCGACGACGTGGCGCCGCTGACTGTTGCGCGAAACGGGCAGCGGGTGCCCTTTGAAGATTGGGGGCGTGCATCTGTAAGTCACTTTCCAAGGTTCCTTTATTGTGTGACACATCTTCAGTGGCGCATATTTATATATATGCACATGTGGCTGTGGCTTTTCAAGGAACTTTTTATGTATTTTGGCTCGGGATATAATGTCTGACATCTCTTTTCTTGATAGCTACGTGAAATCAAATATCAAGGAGTTGTCTCTGCGACTTTGGTCTACGATAGACGACCAATGATGGTCTATTATCGAGCTGTGAAACATAACATGGTGGCCGGGTGTATTGAGAGTAAAGAGTGGCAGGGGAAAGTCTACTTCTATTTGACGAAATAAAATTGTTATATTTAAGTATATACCTAGATAGTGTTGGAAACTTCTCTTGAGTAACTAAGGGTGTTGTTTTCAATGAATGATAATGATCATTTCGTTAAATGACAGCAATTTACGTCCAGATCTCATATGCAACTGCTAATCACTCTCCCAATTCCCATGATCCTATTCTACCAGCCAAACTCAACCAACGTGTTCTCATCATCCACAAGCTTCCCAAAGAGCTCCTTTGGGGTCCCCTCAGTAGCAGCCCTCACAATAGGCCTAGCACCATCCTCTGCTGATTTGACACCTTGGCCGCCCCCGAAGTTGGTGCGACAGAAGCCCGGAGCAGCTAGAACAGAGAGAATATTTTCCTTTTCGAGTCTAACAGCATCAACCGCACTAATCATGTTGATCGCCGACTTGCTACTGCGGTAGACAGGCAGCTCCCATATCCTAGCACTGTATTCTGAAGTAGGCGAGTATGTAATGCCAATCTGACCTAGGCCGCTTGTTACGTTGACGATACGTCGGTCATGATACTTTGAGGCGCGTAGTAATGGTAGGAAAGTGGCAGTCATCACCGCCACGCCAAATACATTGGTCTCAAAAACCTCTCGGTAAGTTTCGCGCAGAGTAGCGTTTGGGTTGGACGATCTGTTGATCCCGGCGTTGTTGATGAGGATATCGAGCGATCCGAAACGGTCTTGGACAAACTTGGCTGCGGCAGTGATAGATTCGTCTTGGTCGAGATCGATAATGATAGGCGTCAAAGAGCTATCGATGCTAGACTCTTGCAGTTGCTTGATTGCTTCTTCGGCTTTTTCTTGGGAGCGGGCGCCGATGAGGAGATTGTATTGGCCAGTGGTAGCCAACTGTTGTGCAGTCGCGAATCCCAAGCCCTGGTTTGCACCAGTTATCAAAATCAAGGGCTTAGTGACGGCGGCCATGATTGGAATGTTGAGGTTTGGAAAGATGAATGATATTGCAATGTACTAGTCGATGTTTATCCAAAGAGAGAATTGAATCTCATTTTATACCTGTATCTCATATCAGAGAAGAAGAGCTGTTTTCACGGAGTTAAGATGATGACTCTGGACCTAACCGGATTAAGAATATCTGAGGTCTGATCCCTGCAAATTAGGAATACGTCAAGCAATTGGTTACAAACCCGAGCTGAATGAATGAGGAATGACAGGGGAAAGTCCAATTCTATTTGGGACGATGAAAGTTCTAGTATACAGTGTTACAGTGTTGAGAAATTCGCTCAGGTGACCAAGGGTGTTGCATCCAATGGGATGATTGCGATATTTAGGACTGATCAAGAGTATTAGGCTTACAGCATGCGACGAGTAAGAACCTGATTGGTCCACCTTGTTGGATCCTTGATGCCGCCTAGAAATTCGAGGAAGGTAGATGCTTGACAAACTCGGTGGTGATGTGGGAAGGCATTGTAAAAACGACATCTCTCCTCGGGACAATGGCTTGAATCTTGTTGTTAGATCTAATAGATGTTCAAAAGGTACAGTTAAGTCGACATCGAGTTCCGCTCAGGTTAAACCGAGTAAATTAGCAGCAAGTGTGGTAAGCATGAAGTACGCCGAGGAAGCAGAGAGTTTGGCCTTTTAATTCTTCGGCAGCGCAACAAAGTATAATCTCCCAATTTCACCTCTTTCTCGCCAGACAAGGGTCAGGTGTAGGGCACTTCTTCCGGGCACTTGGGATATCTGTAGTTGGTCCTTGTTGAGTTTGTGCTCGGTTGCCGGTGCGCGTCTCGCGCAAGTATTCGTGAATGTCTTTGCGGGAGGTGCGGTACGAAGCCGAAGCCGGTTCTTCAGCATCATCTTGCCTTTATTGTTATTGTCATCGTTTTTAATTAGTATTTTCGTCCTAAGTTTTGTCGCTGTTGTCTGGACTGGAACTGTTGTTGTTGTTGTGACATCCACGACCACTATTTTTTTCATCACGATCATGGTCACCTTTGCGACCTCTTCCGGTTGATTGCGCGCTGTTCGTTGAGAGAGAGAGAGAGAGAAGGAAGATCAATCCTGGCGAGGAGCGGGGGTGCTATCTGCTTTGGGCGGAAATGCCGCCTCTATACTGCTTAGTATAGGCCAAAAGGTAAATAAGCCACAAGGCGCAGATGCTGATACCAAGAAAAAGCCGGTTAACTCGGTCAAAAGGAAATTGTCTATCGAGGAAGGTGTAGGTACATGACGGTGAACACCTTGAGACGACCGGTGAGAACACACATGTCAGATCTCCTCGGCTTCACAGAAGATAACAACAAATTGGTCCGTAAGCCCGAAATACTCACATTTGCCAAGGTCGTGGCACTCCTTGGGGTACACTCAATAATTGCTGACTTGGGCACTCGTCTTGGCGTACGGTGAGCGACATCTAGCGCCTTGGTATTCCGCTGCAGATCATGGCGCCTGTGATTGACCTTGTATATTCACCCCAGGGTTGAGAGAGTTCGGGTCATTATTATCGGTCATTTTCGGGTGGAATTTTGCATTTGATATCCGGGAATATGGGGATAATGAAGCTGAGATAAAGAAGGTTGAAGAGCGCGAAAGGTGCCGCTGGTTCTTAGTTCAAACAGTAGCTGCATTAAATGCGGGATACTGACTAGGATTATGCATATTCCAGGTAAGACATGCATTCTCCTTGTAGAAACTCCTTGCGGAAACTGCGGTCGTCCGCTCCTTATATTCCAAGGTTAATATGAGGATTGGTTAGGGCTTACCTTTTGTCGGCGATCCGACGGATTTTGCAACCCTCTTCTGCATCACCTCCCGTAGCGTCGGACTTGAACCAATTCTTGCCATCGCCTTCATGTACCAAGTCAATTCTTGCATCTGGGCATATGCAATTGACACTTAATGAGGGTATATGCTGATAGCGGGTACGGACTCGGGTAAGGGACTCTCGGGTAAAAAACCCGGATAGGGACTCCGGAACAATATTGCGGAATCTGAGTTTGATAGGAGATAACTAAGGAGGCCATATTAATAATAATTGTTATTGGAATTTATAATAAATCGATAAAGAAAGTGATGGAAAAGTGGACGGAGAAATTGATGGAGAAATGGGGAGAAGGTAGGTTAATAGGTGCAAATCAGCAGTGTAATATCAACCCCTTATTTATATCACTCAGATGTAACCAGTGATAATCAGTGATAATCAGTGATAACCAGTGATAACCAGTGAAAATCACTGATAACTAGCTATACAAAGTACGCCAGTTCAATGTTGTACCTCGTACAAAAAGGGCAATATAGAGAGGATATGGTTGGCTGTCTTGACCTTAATTCAGCCCTATCCGAAAACTACAGGACTCTCCACTATTGCGTGCCGAGCTTCCAGGCAGCAGAATTCGAAAGGAGTTTAGCAAGATTATGGGATTTTATATTATTTACATTATTATATATTATATAGCCCTGAAGAATATCAAGTCTACTCCGTACTCCGTACTTGGTTTGTACTAGCAGGTAAAGGGACCGTAATCGGACCCAACGATAAATTAACTTTTCCCCTCGGAAGTCGCCCTCGTGCCGTGCAGGAACGCGAAAATTCTGTACTACTCAGGCTTTTCCCGGTGACTCGACCTATTTATTACCCTGTACAAAGTACACATTCGCACCTTCGGACTATTCTATACAAAATGGAGAAAACAGAGGCCCCGGCCACCCCCGATCTCGAAGCCCCAGACCTCCCCGCCAAAGAGTCCAGCATCGCTCAGCGATGGAAGGAGAATCTGACACCCACACATGCAGACTTGGTCTGTCTGCTCCTCACTTTCCTCACCGGCTTGTGCGATAGCAGCGCCTACAATGCGTGGTCATGTTTCCTTGGAATGCAAACCGGTATGAATCATAGCCGTCACTCTCCGGCAAAGGGGCGCGCGAGGCTAAATAACCAAACCCTCCCCTCTCTCCCGCGAAACACAATATAGAAAGCTAACAACCCCTCTCAAAACAGGAAACACCATCTTCCTCGGCCTCGGCGCTTCCAATCAACCCAAAAACAAGCCATGGGGCTGGCTTAAGTCCCTCATGTCAATCACGTCCTTCTTCGTCGGCTCGATGATCTTCTCGATCGTGATGCGCAAAGTCGGCGCTCTCCGTCGCGGAACTCTCTTCGTCTCATTCCTCGTGCAGACCCTGCTTATCATCATCGCCGTCGCGTTAATCCAAGGCGATCTGATCCCCCACACCTCTGCTGACGCCACCCTAACCGGCGGCTCGCTTTTCCTCGAGTTGATCCCGATCGGCCTGCTGGCTTTCCAGTCCGCTGGTGGAATGACATGCAGTCGTGCGCTGGGCTACAATGAGATCCCGACCGTGGTCTTGACGAGTGTTTACTTTGATATTGCGTCGGATCCGAAGCTCATTGACAAGCCGACTACGAATGTCAAGCGCAACCGTCGTATCGGTGGCGTTGTGTGTCTGCTTATCGGCGCTATTGTCGGTGGCTGGCTGAGTCGTAGCAGTGGTGGTATGCAGTCTGCGCTGTGGATGGCTGCTGGTATGAAGTTTGTTGCTGCGATTGGGTGGTTGTTTTGGAAGGCTGCGCCGGCGAAATAGATTCGGCCATGTGGGATACCTTGTTCTGGTGTTGTAGAGGTCGAGTAGATTGCAATTTTTTTTATTTAGATTTGCATATATCAATGTTAATAGGTTTGATCTGGTTATTCATTGGGTGTGTTTGGTATTACATCTACTGACATGACTCTAAAAAACTTAAGGTGTTCAAAAGTATGAATTGAGTTGCGAGGAGGTATGTATTGGACTAACTCCTCTAATATAGATGACTACCTCCTTGGTGTTTCTCATCCAAATCTGGGCAATGTCATCTTTAGCGCCCAATTAGCTAAACCCCGATTGACTTGGTGAGTCAGTACATGTCTTACACTTTAGTTCATTCGGTTCATATAATTGGACATCCCTCAGGCGCTAATTCGAAGTCCTGTTGTGTTTGGTGATTGGCCGTGATCAGCGTCGGACTCCGGATTATCATCACCACGACCGCCCCCGCAGAGCTTAGTATTCGAATAGGAATTGGCCATCGAGTTTTAGAGCGTTACATTAGTGACCTCTGTGGCTGTCTAGTTCTTTACTAGGATGAAGAATCCACGTGACAGGAATAGGGTTGTTCGAGATCTTGCTCTCTCTCCCTCGGCCTCTCTCCCCTTCTTCCTTTCGCTCCCTGTCGCTTTTGTCTCCTTTCCATCTGTGACGGTATCTGCTCGTAAAGGGCAACATCCTTCCTCTACCCGCGTTAGCTGATACTATGGCCTCGACGGCCCAGGCGCTTTGTCTGAGTGTGGCTGATAGCGCATTTGGCCCCCGCGTCAATGTCGCTTGTCGAAATTTTGATTTCACGGTCTACTTCGAGGATCTATTTTTCGCTTGCCTCCCAACTGCGTTGTTTTTATTGGGTCTCCCTGCCTCACTGTGGCTGCTGTGGAACGAGCCCCGTCGTATCAAGCGGTCTACGCGACTGCTCTGTAAGCTAGTAGGTCATTCAATCATCTATTGAACCAATTAGATGGATTTGTCTTCCAAAATAACGACCAACACGATCTATAGGCAGTTCTCGTGATTATTTTTGCCTGCCAACTTGCCTTTCTACTTTTACGTCGGCTGGGATCTACTGTTATCCAAACCGATGCCTCATTGGCAGCAGATGTGCTGGAAGTAGTGGCTATTTCCTGCGCCATAGTGCTATCGTATATTCATCATTGCTGTTCTATTAGACCATCGACTCTACTCACTCTCTTTCTTTCGGCTCGATCCCTTGTCGGTATCGCGCGTGTGAGGACTCTGTGGCTCATCCCAGATGAAACAAGCAAGGCGGTCGTCTTTACGATTGGTTTCGTTTTAACTTTGATTTCTCTAGTATTTGAGTCCTCTGAGAAAGAGTCCATCGTCACCCCGGAAACAGAAAAGCCTGCCACTCCAGAACCATTTAGTGGTTTTTGGAAGCAAGCTAGTTTCGCTTGGCTTGCCGGAACATTTCGCCTGGGATATTCCAAAGTCATTTCCGTTGACGATCTCCCTGATCTTGATCCACGGTTAGACACTGAGACCGTTGGGAATAAGCTACAGAGTGTCTGGTCAAAAGAAGGTGACGCGCGCTTTTACGACATACGTACCGAGCTTTTCTAATGTTTCGCCGGTTATAATTTGCAGAAAACAAGTCTAAGAAACATGCACTGCTTATCGCTTGCTTCCGTACCTACTATGCTCCATTCATATCTGCAGTCATTCCACGCCTATTTCTATCGGGATTTACCTTCTGTCAGCCGTTTCTCATCAACGCCACTGTGTCATGGGTTGGGAATTCAGAGGCTGCCATGGATTCTGGCAAGGCCCTGATTGGGGCGTACGCTCTCACATATAGTGGAATGGCCGTGGGTAGACATTTGTCTTTGAAGTGACTGGTGGCATAGGCTAATCTATGGTCCTTCAGGTTTTCACTGCTTTGTACGGATATCGCACTTTCCGGTTTACGATTCGCCTTCGAGGGGGCCTGATTTCGCTCATCCATCGGCAGACTGTTCGAGCCCGAGCGGTTGATCTGGGCGAAACTACTGCAATCACCCTGATGGGAACTGACGTTGAACGGATTGCGAGTGGCTTCCGATCAATCCATGAAATGTGGGCTTCTTTGATCGATATAGCAGTAGCAATATACTTGCTGGAAAGGCAACTTGGAGTGGCTTGTCTAGTTCCAGCGGTGATTGTTGTCGGTAAGCATGCACGCCTTCTTATTTGCATTATTGTATGGATCACTTATGATTTGGCAGTTTTTATAGCCGCTACTATGAAGCTCGCGGCCGCTAGTAGCACATCGCAGCGATCTTGGGTAGAAAAGGTGGAGGATCGATTACGTATGACATCACTCGCCTTGGAAAAGATCAAAGAGGTCAAAATGCTCGGTCTATCTGAAAAGATTTCTTCCATTATCCGGGGGCTTCGGCAGGCCGAGGTCGCTACATCAGCTGTGTTCCGCAAGCTTTTGATTGTCAGGGTTGTTATATGTAAGTTGATCAATCCAATATCTGCCATATTTTGTTGGATTGAGGACTGACTAAATTCTACTCCAAAGCCAATTCCCCAACTGACTTGGCTCCCATCGCAACATTTGTCGTCTACACGATCATTGCCCTGAAGAAACAAGATCAATCAATCCTTGCTGCCAAGGCGTTCACCTCCATGTCCCTAATTTCCTTGGTCACCACCCCCGTCTTAACATTTATCCAGGCCATTCCGGCTGTCATACAATGTGTGGGATGTTTCGACAGAATACAGGAGTATTGCAGTACGCCACATGCAAAGGGCAACTCCGATGCCCCGGATGCCGGAGAAACTCTTCAAACCGGATCGCCCAGTTCTTTTAAGATGGAGAAGTTACATCCTGATAGCTCACAGATTGAGTTCAAGGGTCAAGACTTTGGATGGGAAAAGGGTGCCTCCCCTGTTCTGCATGATGTTCGTCTGACAGTCCCGGATGGTCTTATAACTATGATTGTCGGGCCTATTGGTTGCGGAAAGTCCACTCTGATAGAGAGCATACTCGGGGAAACTCTTACCGCTAGGGAGCTGTCTAGCACAAACCTACCATCTGTCGCCTACTGTGCTCAGATTCCATGGATTCAGAGTCGAACAATCCGCGAGAACATTATTGGGAACAGACCAATGGACAAAGTCTGGTATCAAACGGTGATCTCGAGTTGTGGGCTCGAGAAGGATGTTACTCGACTTCGCCGAGGAGACCAAACTCCCGTTGCTGGTAACGGGATGACACTCAGTGGTGGACAAAAACAGCGAATTGTAAGTGAGAATAATTTCATTAACGCACACAATGGTATTTTGATTCTAATTTTTGACTCTAGGCATTGGCGAGAGCACTCTACTCTCGAAGCAAACTCGTTCTGCTAGACGATGTTTTTAGTGGTATTGACTCAAGTACCACTGAAGCTATTGCTCGTGATCTTTTCAGCAACACGGGGCTACTCCGTAAATTGCAAACCACAGTGGTTTTTGCCACTCATTCCAGTAAGATAATACAATATTCCCATCATTGCTCATTTCGCTGCTAACAATATCTGTTAACAGTGTTCCTTCTCCAATACGCGGATAATGTCATTGTCCTCGAAGATGGCCGCGTCCTGGAAACAGGGAGTTTGGACAGCCTCAAAACTCCCAATTCCTATACTCAAGATCTGAAATCCGCATCAGTAACTTCTTCTGTCAATAGCAGCGGTATCAGTTCCAATGACGAAGCAATATCGTCTTCTATTTCCCATATGAAGAATGAAGATCTTGCCGAAGACGATGTCGATAATCCAGACTCATACGATGACTTGAATCGCCAAGAGGGAGACTTTTCTGTTTACTCCTACTATGCTTCTGCATCTGGAAGACTTACATTTATCTCATGTCTGATCGTCGCATTGCTCTGGGCATTTTGCCGTGAATTCACTAGTAAGTCCTTCCTTTTTTCTCTACGCAAATGCCGAATTTATGCTAATGACTCCATAGCTGTGTGGCTGGACTTGTGGACAGTAGCCAACGCGAAGAGTGGTAATTCTCACATTGCCATGTATCTCGGGGTATATATTGCTATTGGGGTTGCCAGTATCATATGCATGATCATCGTTTCCTGGTAAGCGCTCTATTCCAATTTTTGCTGGTTACATTTAATGCTCATATATGCAGGCTTTTGATTGTCAACGTGATATCATCTTCAGCACTCAAGCTCCACGAAAATGTTTTGACCAGCACATTCAGGTGAGTTCGATTAGTTGACACCTTCATATCTACGGGACAACTAATTTTGCTCCAACAGAGCACCATTCCAATTCTTCCACAATGCCGACATTGGTAGTATTACGAATAGGTAAAATAAATACTTGTTTATCCCCATTGACCAAGTTGGCAATCAAAATCGCGCTTTAGAAGACTAACCATTCTCGATGGAATAGATTCAGTCAAGATATGGATCTCATTGATATGAGCCTACCCATTGAAGTCTTCAACGTTATCGCCTGTGAGTGCGGCCTGAGTGACCTTTTAGTAAAAATACCTGACAAAAAACCTAGGGGGATGTACATGTCTCGTCAAATTGATCATCTTAGCCGTCGTAGCCAAATATCTGGCTATCGTCATTCCTTTCGCCGCGGCCCTTGTCTACATGACGCAAAAGTTTTATCTACGCACATCCCGTCAATTGCGATTCCTAGATATCGAAGCCAAGGCACCATTATATACTCATTTCCTTGAGTTGGTCAATGGAGCTGCAACGGTCCGCGCCTATCAATGGCAAGAAAGTTTCGATAAAACCTGTGTCACTCTGCTCAACCTCTCTCAGCGTCCAGTGTACTTGATGTACTGCGTTCAACAATGTCTAGGCTTCTTCCTGGATATGCTTGTGGCTGTACTGGCTGTTATCCTGGTGGCTATAGTCGTGTTCCTCCGGGATAAATTCAATCCCGGAGACGTCGGTGTCGCCCTAGTGATGGTTATGACATTCAACAGTGTTTTGATGCAGCTTATCAAAGATTGGACGAATATGGAGACATCAATTGGAGCTGTGTCCCGTGTGAAGGTATATGCAGCCACGACCGAGTTGGAGGAAAGCACACTTGATCGAACACCGTCTTTACCCACACAATGGCCAGCTGCTGGGGCCGTTGAGTTTTCAGGCGTCGTTGCAAGACACTCGTGAGTTAGATTACCCCGCAAGAAGAAAACTGGATGCTTACATTTATCAGGGCAACACTTCCTCCCGTTCTGAAAGGTATCTCAATGTCCATCCGAGCTGGAGAAAAGATTGCCATTTGCGGCCCATCTGGTAGCGGAAAGACAACCTTGATCCTCGCGCTCCTTGGTATGATTCAATTTGAACAAGGCAATATTCGTATCGATGGATTCGACTTGTCGGATTACTCCAAAGCCGAAACCAGAACCAAACTAAATGTTATTACACAAGACCCCTTCTTAGTTGCTGGCACGATCCGCTTCAACGTTGATCCCCTCGAGGGGGCATCGGATGATGAGATTATCAGCGCTCTACAAAAGGTGCGACTATGGGGGAAGATTGAAAAAGAGGGTGGGCTTGACATGGCCATGAAAGTCACTACATGGTCTCAGGGCCAGAAGCAACTCCTCTGCCTCGCTCGTGCGATGGTTCGAAAAGGAAAAGTACTAATTCTCGATGAGGCTACGAGCAGGTATGTGTATTTCCATTCAACGTATCTTTGAAATGGCTACTTACAATCGATTTTTGCAGTGTTGACAACGAGACCGAGAATTTCATGCAGGAAATCATCAACACTGAGTTTTCGACTCATACTGTCTTGGCGGTTGTGCATCGGCTAAGATTCATTAATCATTACGATCGTATCGCTCTCTTGGATAACGGTGTCTTGATGGAATTTGACTCGCCCGAGGCACTTATGTCAACGGATTCACGATTTAAGACACTTCACGACTCTGGAAACTTGTGAATGCGGGTGCTATATGAGTAAACATGTTGAGAACCAGCGCACAGTGTACCGAGAACTACAATATACCGTAGGTCTCAGGTGGAGCTAGCTACAAGAGCCAATTAGTTCTCAATATATACGCTCAATTTAAGAGATTTTTCACTTATTAATCTCGAGTCTATACAAACTCCTACGCCTACGTTTTGTCACAGTAGATAAAATACGGGTTAAGTAGGTATAGATAGGAATTAAAGCAAAGAAACTACAATTAAATAATCTAGAACTATAGGAACAGCTTGAAGGATGATAGCTCTGATCCGATCACATGTATATTATCTTACCCCTTTCACTTGTAATCCCATCGCCTCATCATGTCCACCAACGTCCGATCCTTACGTCGTTACAGCCAACCCCAAATACCCAGGCTCGAGATGAATCAATGCACTCTGCCAGTATTGGGTTACGAATTGGAAGACAAACGACATGGTAATTTCTGATTATATATAGAAAAGTCTCTTGCATAAAGTATGCTTTTTTTGCTACCTTTACATACATATAAAAAGACTTTCAAAAGAGCATTGAAAAGGCAAGCTAAAAAGATATCACAAGGACGCATAAGCGGCTAACTAGACTTGTTCCTCAACATTTCGTTCCTACTTACTATATGGCTAAGATTCGCTCTTCTTCATAAATTATCGTCCCATTCTTTTTGATTATATGTGTCGTTGATGTGAGCCATAGGTTCGATCCCATAGAGCGAATGGCCAATTGGTGCAGACTTTAGATGCCCGGGCTCCGCTAGTGAGAGCTTGGTGAGGTTGGCACCTATTAGCGGGCCCCGTGCAGATCCACCTGTATTTTCAGTCTTCATAGTGCACCATGACTCGCTGAAATCCACGTTATAAGTCGCGATACGGCTAAGTAGAGATTGTTTCCTGATACCGCAAGCACCGACTTTCCACAATGGGAATCCGAGCCGGAGATAACCCGGGGACCAGAAAATGCCGAGCCCACTGTCCTGGATTTAAAAGGCCCCCAATCCGCTCAATTATATTAATCAACTCCTAAAATAATTTAGCACAGATGTCCGCTTCACCCCCCACTATCCTTCTCATTGGCGCTTCCCGTGGTCTCGGCCATGCCATGGCGGCAGAATTCCTAGAAAAGGGATGGAACGTTGTCGGCACAGTCCGCGGAGAGTCACGAACATTACTCCACGACCTAGCAGACAAGTACACCGGCCGAGTTGACATTGAAACCTTGGACATTTGCCAACCCGATCAAATCAAGGCGCTCGACAAGCGCTTATCAGTTTCGGGCAAGACATTTGACGTCCTCTTCGTGAACGCCGGAACAACAAATCGCGACCCAACCCAAAACATTGGCGATGTATCAACGGAGGATTTCATACATGTCATGGTCACGAATTCGCTCAGCCCCATGCGTGTCGTTGAAAGTCTCACACATCATGTGGCTCCGAAGGGTCTTATCGGTGTGATGTCATCTGGACAGGGAAGCATTAGCAACAATGAAACCGGTCTGCGAGAGGTATATCGTGGCACTAAAGCCGCGCTTAATATGTTCATGCGAAGCTTTGCGGCTCGTCAGGGCCCATCGCGTCCAATGGTGGTGATGGCTCCGGGTTGGGTCAAAACCGAGTTGGGAGGTCCCGAGGCTCGGCTTACCATCGAGGAAAGCATTCCCAGTTTGGTGAATGTACTTTTGGAAAAGAAAGAACGACCCGGACTCGAATACCTCGACTATCTTGGTCGAACTGTGCCTTGGTGAGGAACCCCCGCTAAACACACTCAGACTTATGCCGATATCTCCATCGCGCCAACCCCACCAACACCAAACTACCGGGTGTTGTTTCTTTTGTTTCTTGGCACATTTTATCACGAACCTTGTGTATTTCCAATGTGAATATAGTCATATATCTGCAGCCGTCTCATGTGTTTTAAGTTCACTTTTACTGCGTAGTTTCTGTGGGTATAGAGTAGGAAATCCTGGGACGGGTTTCGATGGGGATCGCCATCTTTGGGCACGGTTATAGATGGAGAGACATTTATGACGGCAATAGATGGCTTCTGATAACACTTCAACTTACTAACTTGGGTACTCTTCATTCTTTCCATCCCGATCGTATCGCCTATATAAGAGACAGCGTTGGCAGCTTCCGAGAACCACAAGCACAGGAATATATTCTCAAATCCAAGGCAATCTCGGTTTTTTTCTCTTAGGAGTAATCCAAGTTCAAAATGACGGTCACCACGAGCGGAGTCGGTTTTTCCCACATCTCCATCAAGCCTTTGCACCCGACTTTCGGCGCCGAGATTAGTGGCGTGGACCTTTCGTCTCCCTTGAAGGTTGAAGTATTCAAAGAAATATTCCAGGCTATGACCAAGGTATGGCCCCGCTCTTTGATATTGCAAACTTGTATTATGTGGTCTTTGGATTGACAGGGATGTTACAAACTAGTATGGTGTTGTCGTCTTTCGCCGCACCGGCCTCACAGACGAGGGCCATATCGCATTCTCTAAGAAGTTTGGGGAGCTAGACGACGTGAAACCCTATATCACCGCTGGCAGAAAACACCGCCTCAAACACACAGAGCTCTTTGATGTCAGCAATATTGAAGCTGATGGGTCCATCCTTGACCCTACAAGCCCACGTGGTGAAGCAAACAAGGTAACTACCTACCTAAGTACTGATAGGAAGAAAGCTCTTTATACAGCTCTGACCATCACCGATACACAGGGTAATGGCCTCTTCCACGTGGACTCGAGCTTCAACCCTCGCCGCGCCGGGTACTCCCTTCTCTTAGCCCACGAGCTACCACCAAGTGGCATGGGTGGCCATACTGCCTTTGCAGACACGAGGACGGCATTCGATACTCTCCCACAAGATCTCAAAGAGCAGCTTTTGACCGAAGACTACATAGCTTGTCACTCTATGCACCACTCTCGCAAAGTAGCAGCCCCCGAGGCCTTTGCCGAGCTCAACCCGCTCGATTACCCTATGGGACGGCACAAGCTGGTGCAGCGCCACGAGACATCCGACCGTATGAATCTATATATTGCGGCCCATGTTCATCACATAGAAGGTCTCACTTCCCAAAAATCACAGGCATTGTTTGACCAGCTGTACAAGCACGCCACTCGCGATGACAACACCTTGGAGATTGAGTGGCAGGCACCGGGTGATTTGGTTATTTGGGATAACACGTGCACTATGCACCGGGCTGTTGGGGGGCAATTCCTTCAAAAATACAAACGGGACATGAGACGAACGACGGTTCATGATTCAAGCTCGACGGCTTGGGGACTGAATGAGCACACTGATGTTAGGCAAGGGCTTCCTTGAATAGGGGAACATATGGCTCTAAGGTATTCGTGACTTGCATGAATTATTGGGACGTTTGATAATTTGATAGCTACTTGATGAATTCGGAATTTTTGTGCTTTTACTTTATATTTCCTAGATATTAGGTCACCTCGATAGACTGGACACCGATTGCGTCGCTTTTGCCAATTTTCTCTTACCATAATTATAAGTATTGACCGAATGCTTTAATTCCCATAGATTTTGGACAGTGAAAGTCATTGTATGATGGACAACTAGAACCCATTTTACTTCTTTGTCATATACATGAGTTACATTCAGGAATATTGACCTCATCGATACATAATCCTGTGGAGAACTTAATTTCGAGATGGCCCATCTGTTTCCATCTACAGCAATCCTCAAATGTCCATGTTCGCATCGCCATCCGTCTCTATATTCCGGATATAGATGCGGGCATATCAACGAGCGCAATTTGCAGATCCGATGTGAAATGGATTTGCGAGGGACTGCCTTGGCCCTATATTAAGTCCTTTGAAATTCAAATCTAAGTATCAATCTATATACATGTAGGTAAGGAGGTACATATGTTTTGATCGAGCCAAAGGTTGCGGAGACAGAAACTATTGCCGTCTATTGCCGAACCCCACACTGTGGGGTTAATCTGGGGAATAAATCTCTCTTCTACGACACTTCCTACTTCCTACTTCCTATTATCTATAACTCTCACAATGACTCGTAGTCAAAATATTCGTATCTATCGCGCGTGCCAACGGTGTCGTCAGCGGAAACTCAAATGTGATCCGTGAGTTGTATGATGCTTCACCCTCCGCCCTCACTAACATTCTTCAGCTCTAACTTGTCCGATGGGACAAACCCTTCCTGCATCCAGTGCCTCCGCTCCGGCAATGAGTGCATTCTTGCCGGGTCACGGCGTGGGGGCGACTTCTCGCAGTTTCGATACTCACGCAGGGGGCAAAGCTCTACGCCAACCCTTAGTAGGGCTAACATAGGCCATGGACTACATGACGAGCAAAGTAGAGATGATGAAAATGCTATCGAAGATCCAATCTACGCCGAGTTAACTAATCCAGGTGATGCACTCCAGATCCTTGCCCAACTTGCAGCGAATGACCCCCAAGTTCCCAATCACCCTAATGACTCTACAACCTTCGATCCTTTCCCGGTGACTCCATCCGCCAAGCGATCAGGGACGGACACTACCTTCAAGATGGGTGGTCAGGTTGAGTCCATGCAGCCTCCTGTTTTACAGTCAACATTGTCCGAGACAGAAACATTAGTGATCGGAGTGTTAGGCACAGATACCGCGAGCCGTCTAGTACATCAGTATGAAACCCTTTATACTATGTGCGCAATTGCCTCTCTTCTGACAGTCTAGCTACGCGGCAAATTACCACACTTTCTGTCCCCTCGCACCGAAAGGGCTTCTGGCGACGACGGATCCGCGTAAGGCAGCGGTAGACGAGCCATTCCTGCTGACAGTGCTTCTCACCATTGCATCTAAAGATGAGCCCACATGTAAAGATATCCACCAATATTGCTGGAAGCATATCAAGCGGCACTTGTTAGATATACTACTCGCCACGCCATCCACTCTAAGGGTCGGGTCTGTGGAAGGTCTCCTGCTTCTTGCGGAGTGGGTTCCTTATATGCAACTCGAAACCTGTTCCTATCCTAACATGTTCCCGAGGAACCTGAGCGCTGTCGAGGATAATATGGCCTGGTCACTTATTGGTCAGGCAGTGAGGCATTCTTACCTCCTGCGTCTAGACAAGGCATCCTTTCGGGAGACGGCTGTTGGCGAATCCCAAGAACTCGAGAATCGAAATCTCTTAGCGTGGATATGTGCGTTCCATGGAATTCCCACTGGTTCGCTGGCAATACTGACTAGATTTTCCAGTTGTATATATATCCGATCGACAGATCTCCGTCCGTATGGGACAGTCATTCTGGTCCCGTGGGCCATCGCTCTCGACGAATTTTACAGCCAATGACTTTCCAAGTCTACGGCTAGGGGCAGACGCAGAGCATAAATATTCACATGTGTTGCAAGCCACCATTGAGCTCACGCAGCTGCTCCACAATGTGCATGACACTCTGTACGCGTCCAAGGAGCGAACGACTCAAATGGTTCGACGAGGGGACTACAATCGCTATCTAGATGATTTTCGACACTCCATGTCGGCGTGGAAAGATCGCTGGGATGGTCTCGAGACATCTCCCAAGCTGAACTGCACTCTGCGTATTTTCAAGGAGTATGTTCGATTGTATGCAAACTCGTTTTCTTTCCAATCACTTCTTTCTAGAGCAGTTCCCCACAACCGCCCTCCGGGGGAGAACCGGACAACGACTTTGGGGACAAGAGGAGCCCCTTCGCTATTTCCACGGGGTATCATGTCGACCCCAGAGGGTGCATATGTGCTCGAAGCGGTAGATGCAGCTCGGGAGATCCTGACAATAACCGTCCAGACAACATCTCAAGCGCAGATTCGCTATATGCCGTTCCGCTTCTATATGTAACTGTCACTATCAAGAAGACCTGAATTGTCTCGGAAATGGCTAATGGTTCGAATAGGTATACTGTGTACTCCGCTGTCTTTCTTTATAAAGCGGACGTCTTTGGGGCCCTCGTGAGCACAGAACATACCGAAGTCGCCAACTTAGTGCAAAGTTTTATACAGGTACTCGAAGACGCTGCCATTAGCGATTGCCATATTGCTAGTCGGTTTGCAAGTCTGTTGAAGCGCATGTGGCTCCCGGACAGGCAGTGCTATTCTTCAAAGAGAACCACATCTTCTGCCGCTTCGAATCATGTGAATGCCTCATTGCAGCAGTATGAATTACCCCAAAATACTAATTCACTCAATGACGGGGTTCGCCATGACCTTGGTTCTAGCATACAGGTCCCTGAGCCTGTATAATTGCCCACGCCATACTTCAATCTATTTTGTCCTGAATTCTCGACTTTAGAGTCCGAATTGGTCGAATTTGGGGTAGGCTCTCTCAATTTCCCGTTTTAAGCAAAGGAGGTGTGGTGTTCATGGTTTCAAAGGGAGGCATGGAAAGCCAAAATAAGTGTTGAGAGCTACCTAGGATGGTAATGTAATAATATCAAACTCTCTGGAACTATGAAATTGACAATTTTTTAGCCTCGGACCTCGGGAGGATCCATGGATACCTAACTACCTATACTGCATGCTGACAAAGAGGAATATGCAGCGGCCCGGCTGTTAACGATGTGAAGTGCCTGCAAGAGATTATGGCGGAAATTCACATGCAGTTCGTATTTCTGACAGCTGGTAACAAAAACAATAGTAAACTGTGAGCATCCAATGAGCACCCAGGTATTTATTGGGCATCAGTCATTATGCACGTGACCGGCCTGTACGTGTATATATATACGCCAACAACCTCGATGTATACCAGAGGTACCTTCTATTATTATCCCTAAAAGAGATATGTCAATAGAAACAATTTTTTAGGGTGATTCTAGCACTCTAAGATCGCCCTAGGATCGGCGATCTGGATCATAAAGAAGTGAACATTTCGGCGTCATATAGTTCACTGTCACCTGCCACATGACCGGATTGTAGGCTGTGAAATGCCCTCAACCAAGGTAGGCACGAGGCCCACAGAATCAATGCCCTTCGATTGCCACCAGACAGATGGTTAAAGAAGGTACTATCTGTGGGGTACTAAGATCATAACAAACCAGAACTTTGTGGCAAAGAAAGCTATGATGGCATATCCATACATCCACCTAGGCAGTATCCATGAATTACCTCAGACCAACCACGGCTCACAACAAGCATCAACTGACTGGATCACGATCTCAGAATAGAATAGAATCAGTGGCACAACTAGAAGCATCTGGATGGCAAGTGCGGAGAAGGACCCAAGGTGGTGGTAAATGCCATCGTCATGGTCAAATCATTGCCACCACCTTTAAAACGCATAAATACGGACAATCATCTGCCTTCTTTTTAATTTGGTTTACTTATCAAAGAACTCCAAGAACTCAAATAATTTAAAGAACCTCAACGAAATCTACGTATAATACAAACCACTGTTGGTATGGAGCCCAATTCAACCCTTGGACCTCATTGAGAAGAGCATCGGGGGTTTTGTCGGTGGAATGCGATGGCGATGCTCTGTTTAGAATTCTTGCTAACATTATCAAGCCATGCCTAAGGACAAAGGGCAAAACCGGGGCCAGGAAGCCGCCGCCGCCAGAACCAGGACCCATGCTACGGAAACCGCCTCACACAGCGAGATGGGTCCTGCTGAACTCTTGCGTGAACACATGGATGCTTCTGGCAATGCAGTACCCGATGAAAGTTGGGGTCCTACAAGAGCTGAGGACGATTCCGACTTGGTTGATGCTATGAATGCGGAAACTTCAGAATTTGACAAAGATTGAAATTGAACAATATGATACGGTGAAAGGGTTGAACAAAAATCCAATAATTATATATATTATTTTCCCAGGAATTGAACTACATTTGAAAGTCATCTGCAGGTTTCAATATGTTTCAAATAGATATATGTAGGTTTCAGTAGAGCACATAGAGCACATGTCGATATAGTGGAGTTTAGCGGGCAATTGCTATGGCAACAGCACTTAATAGACGGTGATACTTTAATGTTGTAGAACCTTGGAAATCATCTTGTTACTATTATTTCCAATTCCAATTTCAATTTCATTCACTTTCGTTCTTTCTTTTTGATATATATCATTCTTTCCACAAAATATGCTCTAAGATTCACAACGTGTGTTTACAATGAACTGAACTTCCCAGGGAAACAACGCGCAACAGTACCGACTCCCCCCCTTACACTCATTCCAGTCTACACATTCCCTCTCCAATCTATCTCTTATTCTTTTTTTTCTTTTGTCAATCCCATTCCATGTAATCAGTCTTGCATGTACCACTCTCTTCTTGATCGACGACGCGACGCCGTCAGCGCTTGTGTACAGCTATTAAGCGACAGCAGTAGGGACATGGCGCTCGATCCGCGCTTCTATCACCACATCGGCCATCCGGGCCCAGGCTCGATATCTTCAGCCGCTTCATCCGACGTATCGGCAGCCACAGGAATCACCTCCCCCAGCATTATCTCCACCTCCGCTTCCGCCGCCACCTTCCGATCCACAGCTTCCAGTCCATCCTTCCGCGCACGAGAGAATTTCGCAATATCCCGTACCAGAGATGGGATGGCTAGTCCAACACCAGGGGGAAATGTGCGCGTGGTCGTGCGAGTGCGGAAGTTCTTACCTCGAGGTAGGTGTCGTTTGGGAGGGATGCGGGGAGGGCGCGATAATCTGAAAGTGGAGGCTGTATTCTGACCTCATCTTGCAGAAATCGATCGCAAGGCAGATTGTTTGATTTCGATGGACCCGCACACGCAGATGACCTGTCTTCAAGCACCCAAACCGAAACCCGGCGATCAAGGAAAACCCAAGTCACAGGCCCGCGGCAAGATCTTGGAAGATAAATCTTTCACCTTCGATAACTCCTTCTGGTCCCATAATGAGGAGGATGAGCATTACGCACACCAGGAAGATGTCTACAACTCTCTTGGTGAGGAGTTCTTGGATCACAACTTCGAAGGATACCACACGTGTATCTTTGCATACGGACAGACAGGTTCCGGAAAGAGCTACACCATGATGGGAACACCAGATAGACCCGGCTTGATTCCTCGAACATGCGAGGATCTGTTCCAGCGCATTGGAAACTCGCCTTCTCCCGATATCAGCTACAATGTCCGAGTGTCTTATTTCGAAGTATACAACGAGCATGTCCGCGATCTTTTGGTCCCGCGAACTGATCCCCCGCATTATCTCCGCATTCGTGAATCGCCGTCAGAAGGTCCATACGTCAAGGATTTGACGGAGGTCACCGCAAGGAACTACACGGAATTGATGAAGTTTATGCGAAAGGGCGATGTCTCACGAACCACGGCTAGTACAAAGATGAACGACACTTCGTCTCGATCTCATGCTGTCTTTACTATCACTTTAAAACAGATCCACCACGACTTGTCAACAGATGAAACGACTGAGCGCACTGCTCGGATTCGGTTGGTCGATCTGGCAGGTTCCGAGCGTGCCAAATCTACCGAAGCAACTGGCGCTAGACTTCGTGAGGGTGCAAATATCAACAAGTCTTTGACTACGTTAGGACGTGTCATTGCAGCACTCGCAGATCCTAAGAAACTCCGTGGCCCACGGAAGGGCAAAGAACAAGTACCATACCGCGACTCGATCCTGACATGGCTATTGAAGGACAGTCTAGGCGGTAACTCCAAGACTGCCATGATTGCCTGTATCTCACCCGCGGACTATGAAGAAACACTTTCGACTCTTCGTTATGCGGACCAGGCCAAGAATATTCGGACACGGGCCCGGGTCAACCAAGATCAAATGTCGGCAGCTGAGCGTGATCGACAAATTGCAGAGATGACAGAAACAATTCGCACCCTTCAACTCAGCGTGAGTCAAGCAGCACTCAACCAGCGGGCAAGCGAGGCCTCCGATGAAAGGCTCGAAGAATACCAGCAGAAAGTCGAGAAAATGCAACGTCTCATGGAGGAGAACAAGATGGTCAGTGAATGCAAGATTCGACAACTGCAAACAGAAAACGACGCTTTGCGCATGCATCTGAAGCTAGCGGTTGAAAGTCTTAAGAACCCAATCCCACCCATTACATTTGAGCAGCGAAAGCCTAGCATGACGTCCATACAAGATGAGAATCAACCGCCCAGTTATGATTCAGAAGATTGCGAAGGCTCTCCTTTGGTATCAGATGCCGAATCTGACATGGACGTCTGGGAAGATGATGATACGATCACCGATGATGTCACCGAGCAAGAAGCCCAACAGATGCAGAATCACATGCATGATCTTCTTGGTGACCTAAGTGTCTTCAAGAGGAAACTGGCCACTGATCATGAACGGTTCCGTCCGATCGAGGAGCATACGACTCGGAAGCGGCGTGCCTTGGGAAGCATTGTCAGCAATCGTTAATATGTGGATATGACTTTATTTTTATCTTTTGGGTGTACAGGGATTGAATGGTGTTGGCGGTGATCTCTTTGTCTGCTCTTTTGCGATGACCTTTGGAATATTTGAGGTCTTTGTTCGGACTTCCTTGTTTGAATTGGGACCAGACTAGTTTTGGTCTGTGTACTTATTTCTGTTATAGCGAGCCCCTGCGATGAATAATGAGACACTTGATGTTATGCATGTTTCAATGCCAACTACCCTGTTCATTGGGTATCACGAGTTCTTTCAGGCTGCACTCTTATATGGAGGCCATGTCATTTAATCAGGAGTAATAAATTATTGCTTGTTAAAAACAAGTACTTTTCTGAATAAGAGTCGAGAGTTATTCAAGAACAATTCAACAATTATCTACATTGTTCATTGTACAGCGCGATGAACCGCAAGTTAGGGCTGCGCCGTTCAGTGGGCCGCTTATGGCATCATTTCTTTTTCCGTGAGTCAACCCTCCCTCCCTCTCCCCACCATCTTCGCAGATCCACACTCACACGAGAATTAATTCACAGACAAGATGGCGGAACCCTCCAAACCAGCGCCGACCGCGCAAGCCTCAACACCTACCTCATCGGCATCAGAGCAAGCTCAACCCGCGACCGAAAACTCTCCGCAGACTCTCCCGATCCGCGACTCAAAACCCACCCAACCCACCGGAGATGCGCCTGCGTCCACAGACGGCGCCACAGACAAGCCGCTTAGCCCAGCCGAGTTGAAGAAAAAAGCCAAGGCTGATAAGGCTGCCCGACGCATCCGAGAGAAACTTGAGAAGGAAGGAGGTCCTGTTGGCGGTACCACTCCCGCTCCTGGCGTCGGAGCCCAGGCTCGTCCACCTACTACACCGAAAAAAGATGCTGCCGGTACTGGCTCTGCACAGAAGGGACCGCGAGCACCGCCCCCGCGCCGCGGCTCAGGTCCCATCGCGCAAACTGGATCCGTTCTCGTGGAGCAAAAGAAGAAGAAAGATGATAAGAAGGTTGCTGTCTTTGGGCATTTGTACGGACAACAACGCCGTGTCACCGTCGCTGGTGCCACAAAGGAAGTACACCCTGCTATCCTGGCCCTGGGCATGCAGTTGATGGACTACACTATCTGTGGCAGCAGCGCGCGCTGCGTGGCCACGTTGATTGCTTTTAAACGAGTATGTTGTTCTTTTTTTCTTCATGCCAATAAGACATGACCATGACCATGTATGCTGACAATTCGCTTTCTAAAGGTCATTGAATCTTACACAACCCCCATGGGCACCTCGCTCGCTCGCCACCTGACCACACACCTCTCGGCCCAGATCACCTACCTCTCGACATGCCGACCCCTCTCCATCAGTCAGGGAAATGCCATCCGTGCCCTGAAGCTCTTCATTGCCGGCATTGATCCCTCCACCCCCGAGGCGAGTGCCAAGATTTCACTATGCGAGTACATCGACAGCTTTATCCGTGAGAAGATTACCGTCGCCGATCAGGTGATTGCAGACAGCGCAGCACAAAAGGTCCAAGACGGGGACGTGATTGTTACATTTGCGGGCAGCAGCATCGTCAAGCAGACCCTCCTGTTAGCACACAACCAAGGCAAGCGATTCCGCGTCTCAATTATCGACTCAAGGCCCCTTTTCGAAGGCAAAAGCCTCGCCCGCGATCTCGCCAAGAGCGGGCTCGACGTCCAATACTCCCTCGTCCACGCCATCACCCACGCTATCAAGGACGCCACCAAGGTCTTCCTCGGCGCCCACGCCATGACCAGTAACGGCGGCTTGTACTCGCGCGTCGGCACCGCCCTTGTCGCCATGTCCGCCAAGGAGCGCGCCAGTGGCGTTGAAATCCCCGTCATTGTCTGCTGTGAGACAATCAAGTTCACCGACCGTGTCGCCCTCGACAGCATCGTCGTCAACGAGATCGCCGACGCCAACGAGCTGCTACCTATGGATACCCCTGTTTCCCTTGTTGTGAGCGACCCGGCAGATGCGTATGTGCCCCCTCCGCCTGAGAATAAGAAGGGTGGAAATCGCGCCCCGGCTCCCGAACCTCCTGTTATCCCGCACAAGACCTCTTCGTCGCCTCTTGCGAACTGGCACAACACTCCTAACCTGCAGCTGCTGAATATCATGTATGATGTTACTCCTGCGGAATACGTCGACATGGTTATTACTGAGATGGGCAGTCTTCCTCCCAGTGCTGTCCCAATTGTCCACCGGATGGTGACAAACCTGTGATGTATTAAATTTCTTCGCTTTTTTCGGCAACATGGTCATGAATCTGGAGCGTATCAAACCTGTAATCTAAATTAAAAGCAATGAAAATGGTTCCGACTGTCTCGGCGTCGTGATTTCCAGGTCTTTTTTTTTTTTCTTTCTTTCTTATCCTTTATTTATTTATTTATTTTAGGAATTCTCTTGGGCCGTCATTTCGTTTGGGCTGGTTGAGCTACAACATAATTATGTACTGGGCGTCTGCTTTTCTCTTTTCTTATACTTCTTTTACTCGTTAGATTTTGGTTTGCCATTCATTGGGTCAATCCCGATATTTGAAGATGTATAGACAATAGATCTTTATCAGTATCATGGGTTCTTGGAATAGGTGATTCCCATCCTCTCTCTCTCTCTCTCTCTCCCTCTCTCTCTTATTAAAAATGTATCTATAGTACAGGGCTATTTGTACACAGCATTATAATGTCATAGGAGTATAAGTTACAAACCTCTATCCTCCTACCAATACTCACAGGTTCCTTTGGTAAAATGTCAATTTCACCCTATATCTATATTATCGGGTATAATACGATCTAAACTTATAGACCTGCATGAAAATAGATGGAGATCTTCTACAATATAAACTCAAACGAGCGCCACAAAAAGCTTGCCACAACCAACCGACAAATTTACCAAAAAGAATAAACCGCATGTTATCAGAATTATACGCAAAAAAAATAAAAAGATATTTGAAATGACGGTTCAATTGCCTGCTTAGCGAGTCCCTTCGGGGATCAGATCGAATCTCTGAGCTGTCATATTAAATTTCATTTTTATCTCTACCGTAGCTCCTTTGAATGATTCAGTAATGTATTATTTAGTATCATCTACGGGTTTCAAGATTGGTGGCCCTATGTGTTCTTTTTGTACTTGTGTAAAATTGGTCGTGCCTCATATCCGGATAAATATGGCGTCTCGGATTATATATAACCCGAAAGCTGGGGTATAAAGTGGATCCACTATTCGCAGTTGGACCCACCTTTTCTTTCTCCCCAGTGCTCTGTGTAGTAGTACCTGTTCTTTTCGTTCATTGTCTTCAATTTTTAGATCTCGTGGCTTGACTGTGCTTCTGTGCAGTCATGCTGCACTGTGTCATTGGGCTTACACTACCCCCAAATGATGCGACCACTTTTCATCACCTGTTCGGCTTGTCCGGGCGCTTGGAGAAGAGTTGTTTATATGGTATTAGTCTCTGTAGCCCATAGTAACGCGTCCGCAGCCAGCACCTTGTTACCAGAGGATCTTCATCGTGTTACGACAGAGTCTCTCGGCAAATAAAGACCTCATTTTAATCGTCACGACCGGATTGACATCACTAGAACTGGATTGGACCCTGGTTACTTCTTGAGTTTAAACTTTCATCCGGAAAACACTAAAGCTGGTGGGTTCTAGACCTCTTCTAGGGTTCCATTCCACATGGGCGTTCTCTATGGGGAAAGAACTGTGTATAAGAGAAGACCAGCTAACTACACGGCCCTCTCATCATGAGTGGTCTAAGACCCACGCCGACTGTCTAAATGTGGAAGCCCGTTGAGTCTTCAGGAAGACAATGCTCAGTACTTTAATCCATGACCAGTCTACTAATTTGTTTTGGATGTATAATATTAACCTCTATCATATGGCAATTTGGCCGAGTGTTTAAGGCTCGCCTGCGAGGCGAGTCTCTTCGGGGACCAGAGTTTGAATCTATGTCCTGTCGTTTCAAATGTCTTTTTAATTTTTTAGCTCCCTCTTGTTCTGGACATATAAATTTGTGACTGCAGTAGACCCCTGAATTAGACCTGTAGACAAGGTGAACTTGAAACCATGGGAACGGGATGTCCCAACTCTACAATCTACCTGATGTGGGCGGTGTACCTAAGGATTATTCTGCCGTCAACATCAATCTACACGCCGATAAGCCAGAGAACTTCCTCAACAAGTCCCATTGACAAGATATTCTCACATCCCCCAAGATCTCGATAAAGAGATCAAAACTTCCTCAAAATGGTACATACACAATGCTAGCCTCCCTCCAGAATTCCAGACCACCAAACCCCAAGCTAACACCCAAACCACCAGAGCAAAGACTCCTCCGCCTCATACCTACACATGCACCAACCACGGCTAGCAGACCTCTTCGAAGAATTTACACGCCCACACATCTCAACGGCCACAAACTCAACAACAGACCCGCACAATGCCAACAATGTCTCCGCCGCAGCCCGCGAAGCAGCAAGCACAGCCGCAAATGCCATCCCATACGGCTCGACCTCTCCCTCCACAATCCCATCATTCCTACCAATCGAAGACATCTACGTGGCACCACAATACCAGCCCCCGAACCCCGAAGACGAGGACGACGTCGTTCCAGACCAGCATGCGGCGTTCGGCATTACCCGCGCCATGGAGCGGAGACGGGATGCTGTGTGGCGCGATCTCGGTCTTGAGGCGCTTGTCAATGGCGAGGGACATGGGCCTGATGCTGGCCCTGTGACTGGTCCTGGAGGCGCCGGTGCTGCTGGGGCTGCGACCTCTAGGCCTGGTGCAACGCTGCGGGGTAGTGGGGGTGGTGCGGCGGCGGCTGGGGCGCCTGTTATTAGGATCAGGGATTCTGGGCGGAGGATGGGTGGGCGTAGGGTCATTGGGTTGCGATAATGGGTATCAGCGTTTGGTGAAATTCTTGCGTGGTTGTCTTTTACTGGAGGTGGTGCTATGAATGCTTCCTACCTACCTACCTGCATAGGCAGGTAAATGGGTGTCTTGTGTTACTTGCATTTTTTTTACTGGTGCATATGTTTTCAGGCTGGATAGCCTTGTTATGATACCCACTTTGGATGTATCTTTCTGTTATGATATATCTTGAAGATCATTGATTCGTTTCCATTTGCGATTTTGTTCCAAGAACCGCCAATATCAAATGGCTGCAGACATAGCTCAGTCTGAGCCTTTAACGCCGCGCGTAATGCGATATGATTATATATGTCCCTAGATACGATTGATGTCGACCCGAGCCCGCTCGTACAGCTTGTGGCTAAGCTGTTTCTGTTCGCGCTCGTCCTCTGCCACCAGTCGGGGGTGGACGGCCAGTTGGGCGTATGAGCCTGCAGCGCGACGCTTTGATAGGGTGCCTGGGTTGATGACTAGCACACTGTCGACGACCTGTAAGAATAATAAGGTTAGCAGCGTTGATGGAAGTTGAAAAAGCCTCGGCTAGGGATAACATACCTTTACGAATGGCGGCAGCATACTAGGCACAATTAAAATATCAGGCCGGACATTCCACCATTCGCCCAGCTTCATGTAGGGCAGATCCAACATAGCACCTGTAGCCAGGCCACCTTCGGACCCGGGCTTCGGAAGATTTGACCGTGCGGTCGGAGGGAACAAGGGGAAGAAATGGCGTTGCTCGACGAGATACTTGGGCAGACGGGTGAGCAGGTTCGCCTCTGCTGGTCGACCATGCAAGACCTCTTCGCGGCGAAGCTCAGAGAGCACATCGTGTGAGCACATTCCAATAACGGATTCGTTGAACGATAATGTGACGGGATTTGAGACCATGCGGACCTGCTTGGGCAGACCCAGATCTTTCTTGAGGAGCTGCTCTTGGGGCCAGGAGACGTGTCGGCTGAGTGCATCACGCACAGAGGGAAGCATCACGATCGTGATGCTTGGGACGGCCGCTCCAAGTCGTGCCAGTGGTGCTGAGATACAGTGCCGGAACATTACGGACAGTGTAGCTGTGTCCGGGTCCAGGCCCTTGATGTCTGGCAAGTCGAAATCGCCTGATGCAAGAAGAGGGTGCTCAATGTCCAGGAACGGTCCCATCAGCACCAGACTGTCGGCGTAGTTTTCGGCTGCCTTCTGACATAGTTCCTGTAGTGGCTCGAAGTCTAGGTTGTCGTCCGCCGTGTACGGCCCGGCCGCTACCATGATGTTAAGCGGTGGGTTTGCATCTCCATCAAGTCGCTCGTTGATGTTGTCCAATGTCACAGCTGAGGATACGGCTGGTGGTAACAGGGGAATTGGGAGTACTTCCTTGACAGAGAAATATTCACCAGAGGGATTGATTCCTCGGAGAGCCACGATTTGGCCTGGGAAGAAGTTCACTGAGGGCACAGAATCCACCTTCAAGGGAACTCGTCTACCGGCTCCGGTTCGGCGCGAAGTCTCAAGTACGAGGGAAGCTGGGTTCAATTTCCCCTCCAGACTGTCGGAAGCGATTCGTCCAACGGCAATAATCTCGCTTGTGCTCTGGATGGCTGCACTCCCGAATGTGATATCGTCTGAATTGAATTCTGCCTGGAATATAGTCGCGAACTCGTCGATACGATCATCCAAAATCTCCGATGCTTCTGACAATTTCATGCCCATGGGCTTGTAGCCAAGCTTTTTGAGGTCCGTATTCGCAGTGGGCTTAATGCGCGCCTCGGAAAATGGCGCCATTGGTGTTTCTGGCAAGGATAGGTGCGCATTGAGGGTTTCCACCGTCTGGCCGGGATTCGGTCGATCGGAGAACGGAACTGTTCTATTCCTGATGTTAGCAACTTCAATTCATAATATGCGCCTGAAAACCACATACTGCATTCCATCGCCAGGTGTTCCGGTTGGTGTTTTTGTGCCCGCTTGCGATCCAAATTTTTCGAACTTGCTGACTCTTGGTGTAGCGGGCGAGGTGAATTCGGACTTGCGTTTTGCGGATCCAAATCCATTCCCAGTTCGAACATTCGAGGCAGTTGGTGTCAATTGATCGAACATCCCAAACATATCGCCGCCAGCTGCGGCCGCGCCTCGCGGGGTTGCCGTGTTTGCGTTTCGCTTTTCTGAGTGTCGGCCAGCCTTGTCACGGCTTTCACGCTCCAATGCTTCTAGGACATCTTGTTTGAAGCCTCGCACTGTTTGCATGGTCAAGGTCACCCCCTCGCCCATCTTTATGCTGTATGATTCCCATTTGTAGAAAAGCTCCTCCGCGGGGATCGAATGCACCCGTAACATGGAGAGGAGCTCGGCAAGGATATCTTTGGGGATTCCATCGGGAAATGAGCCCGCAAAAAACTCATTGAGCTCTCCCTCGGCGTCCATTGTGGTGAGATGTGTATCGTGGAAAGGTAATGGACATTGAAAGTGCAGACACGCGCAAGACGCGTGAGACCGTGTCGCTGACCTAAGCGGCCCAAAGGGGTAATATTATTCGAGCATTTGATGGAAGTGGACCTGTCAATCAGGAGAATTAGTAAATTGATTGCCCCTAAATTTATTCTTCATTCTCTAGATTTCCACGTGTCATTGTATAGTCTATAAATATAGATTTTATCCAAGATCATGTCGAACTGCGAACAAGGCGCTGCTGCGCATGCCCCCACCAATGGCGATACTGTGTCCGATACGAAAGTACAGGCACCGGCCGATTCAGCCCCCATGAACCCCCAGACCGAGCTTACTTCAACCACGAATCCAATTGAGCTCGAGCTGCCCAAATCAGCCGCCGACGGCCTCATCCAGAAGCCTTTCGCTAGGCCGCTGGACACAGCCAAGCCTGTAGCACGCGAGGAACTTACTCCGGAACAACAATCCAAGTACGAGGCTGTGCTTAAGTCTGCTTCATCGTGGACTACGGTCGCCACCAAGGCCGAGAAGAATGCCCCAACGTCTCCCATAACCGAGGATGAGAGGATGTGGTTGACCCGCGACTGTCTCCTGCGCTACCTACGCGCGACCAAGTGGGATGTCTCCCATGCGGAGACACGTCTCCAGAGCACCCTCACATGGCGCCGCGAGTATGACCTGAAGAAGTTTACACCTGAGTATATTTCGATTGAGAACGAAACAGGCAAACAGGTCCTTTTGGGCTATGACATCCACGCACGGCCATGCCTGTATCTCTTGCCCTCCAACCAGAACACGGAGAAGAGTCACCGCCAGCTCGAGCATCTTGTCTTCATGCTGGAGCGGGCCATTGATCTCTCAGGACCTGGCCAGGAGACTGTTACCCTCATCGTCGACTTCAAAGAGACAACATCTGGCCAGAATGCAAGCCTGAGTCAGGCCAAGCAGACGCTCAGCTTCTTGCAGAACCACTACCCTGAGAGACTTGGTCGGGCTCTGGTGCTCAACGGTTAGTGATTTTATATCCCAGGCAATCGTATGAACAAGTTACTAATTTCCTACCATAGTGCCCTTCATTATCCGAGGATTCTTCAAATTGATCACACCCTTTATTGATCCGAACACTCACCAGAAGCTCAGGTTCAATGAGGACCTGCGTCAACACGTCCCGCCTAGCCAGCTTATGAAGTCTGTGGGTGGTGATGTCGAATTCCGCTACGACCATGCATCCTACTGGCCCACTCTGAACCAGCTGGCTGACCAGCGACGTGAGGCGTACCGCGAACGCTGGGTTCAGGGTGGCAAGCAGGTCGGCGAGTTTGAGAACTACCTGAAGGGCGAGAACGTTGCCAACCTGTCTCAGACCCAGCTTGAGGCTAAGGCTAGCGAGCAGGCTTGAATGGGAAAACATATCGGTTTGTGACTATCTTGGTATATTTGTCATTTTTGGTCTCCATTTCTTTTTTCTTTTCTATTGGTCAATAGCTGGCATTTTCTCAGAGCACTGGAGTGATTTACTGTTGGTTTCTTTTACATATACCGCTCTGTTTCGACACGCCTGTTCATAGACATGTTAATCTTTGTCAATACTTAAGCGATAGAGTACGCGAATTAATTATAGATGTCTAATCTTTCTTCTTCGGCTTTGCTTATTTCGTGTCTCACATGTACGCTAATTTAGATCTTTGGGAGAGAATATGGAAATATATATATTGTCATTGTGCTGAAGCCCACACCTAGGTTGAAGACTGTAAGGAGTAGTAGATATGGAAATCAAAGCTCAGCAACAAAATCCGAATCATAAAAACCAATGAATCCGATCTATACCAAACTCTAGATAGGCCCATGATGGCTGCGGCGCTCTTGCACGCATCAAGGCACTGAATTTATGCAAAACGCCAAAAGTTAGACATCGTGCGAAAAAAAAAACGGCCTGGGGGCGATTTATCTTACGTGAAACCAACACTTTTAGAATACTTATTAGTTATATACAGATTCAAATCAGTTGGAACGTAAAGTATATCAATTCTATGGCATAACGCTAAAAGTAAACAAAAATAGCTAGATGCAGTCCCCATATCTCTAGATTTAGACAGCGCCTAATCTCAACAACATCTCTCCTCCTTCTCTTCCATCAGATACCAGATTTTAGACTAACCAAGCTCCAATAATTTGGCGCTATATCCAAAGGATATTGAGAATCACCATTCAAATTCCTATTGCAATTTTAGTTAAGTTTCTTCATCGTCTGGCACTCTCCTTAGCTTACCTCAGTGTAGAGTGTGATTGATGGTCCGCCATTGAGCAAATCATCGTTAACAGCCTTTCTTGTTGTGCTCATAAGCTCACTGGGACCACAAGCACCAACAATGATGCGGTATTCTGGGTTGCCGCTTCCACTGGCAGCGGCCGCGATCAAGTTGCGAATATTCGGGCGCCCTGGCAAAATCTGGTTGACTGAAGAAGGAATACTGTCTGTAGACTGTTGCTCAACGCCTTTCTCGGGATCATTCGTTGAGAAGACCGCAGAGGGTTCTGTTAGGATCACATCGTCCTTTGCAGCAACTTTTTCTGACAACGAGGCTGGGGATGAGGGTGACGATGTGCCGGACAGGTCAGCCTGACGGGTGACGTGGATGAGCACATTTACTTCTGGGTGGGACTGAAGTTGTTTGAGCTCTTGGGCAAACCATTCGAGGCTCTCTGTTGGACAGAGTTAGTTGACGAGTGTATAAACGTTGTTTCTATTAAGCCTTAAACGTACCTTGATTTCTCACAATCCAAATAAAGTCAATCGACTTCACTGCCTTATTGGATGCCTCGATCAGGTCTAGTGCAATAGCAAAAGTGAAGCTAGCACCGCTGCCACCAGCGACAAGAACGACTTTGTCAAACACTTTGAAGTTGGGGACTTGACCATAAGCACCGTCTACAGAACAGCGGAGAGATCTCCCAGGGGCTTCTTGGGCGGCTTTGTACAAATCCCGCGTAAAGCCATCGTACACTCTAATGACGAACTCGGATGGGTTCGAAGACACTAGAGTGAACGGATGGCTTTCAACCCAGCGAATGGCAGGAACCCACAAGAATGCATGGGAACCTGGGGTGGAGTGCATGCGACGGCTGAGTTTCACCCGAAGGGCATTGTTGGGCAAAGCCGTGACAGTGAGAGAATTTCCGAAGAAGTTCCAAACTATCTTTGCGCCGCGGATGATGCGGTCCGTCATCCAAAGACAGGCAGTGAAAATGACGATAATCACCGTGTGGGTTGAAAAATCCGGACGGTGCATTCCGACGGTGATCATAATCAAGATGAACATGATTAGGTGCAGCATATAGAAGACTATAAATATTAGAAGTGTAGAGAATAGTAGTATACGAAAGAATGACTCACGTTCATAACACCCCCGCATGAAGTATGTGATAGTTGAAAAGCCAATGATCACCATAGCAAAACCTGCAATTGCGCCGGAAAAATTGGCCGCTTCTCCCATTTTGTGCAGGCTTCCGCTCTCCGACCAGGCAGATAGATACACTATGCTATGCAGGACACTTGTGAAGATGCAAGTGTAACCGGCAACCTTGTGTAGCGGGCGGAGCTTTTCGTAGGATGTAGCTGCCAAGGGCGCGAGTGGCGTATTCTTCAAGGCCAAGAAGACCAGAAGCACCAAGTTTGCGATTGAAACCCTGTTCATTGATACTTGTCAGTTTCTATATCGTAGGAGCAGAATGTATCGAGAACACATACCAGCCAAGTCGTTTGGAAATCTTGGAATTTGTTAGTAAAAGCGTGTACCAAGGCCAGAGAATGAACGAAGCCGACTCACATAGGTGATATTTGTAACGTCAATATTGGTTAAAGCGATGATCAAGTTGATAGCCCAGTAGATGATATACAGAATAGATCGGTCTGTCCTTAATCCCATAGTTGAACTAGAAAGAAAGCATCGAACTTGTCTGTCACATTCAAATGATCAGTATTATCCTTGGACCAAAGTAGCAATGAACATACCTATACTTCCGAGTCAATGTAGGATGACTGTTCCTTCGACCATAATGAAAGTGAATCACACTTGACCAGTGGTATATGACAAAAAGAACCATGATTGCACCGGTAGCGATGGCAAAATACTTATTGGCCCACACATTGTTAGACAGGCGCAATGCCTTCTCAGCAGCCTTTGCAGCAGCCTTTGCGGCAGCCTTTGTAGATTTGGAGTCACTCATTCTAACTGTTACAGACAGAATGTATGTGGAAGCTTGAAAGGAAAATCTCTACAATCAACACAACCTGACCGGGGATGGCAATTATTAATTTCACTTCCTCGCATTGGAACTATACCGGAGAAATTCGTGCCAAGAAGATGAACGGGACTCCACTGTCTCCCAGGATATGTTCTCGGATTAAGTCCGTGTCCCATAGGCTGAGACTACGTCAAACGGAGCATTACCTATATCGTACTGTCCCGAGGACAGTTATCCCACACCTAGTTAGGAAGTATATCCTGGATATCACCTGCGTATATACGCGGATACCGAAAACCGTTGGAGGAGCATTGTTTTTTTACCAACCTCAAACAAATAGAAAACCATTCAATGCCGGTTCGTCAGCGGTTCTTCAACGGTTCTTCAACGGATATTTAACGGATGTTTAACGGTAGTTCAAGGGTTGTCCAGTTGTAGATATGTTGCTACATGCTAAGTCCGTTTGAAAAAACAATAGCAAATTAATAGTTGCAATATATTCAGCGGTTGTCAATATTTTCTGAATCCCTATTCCCGTAATGTGTGTAGTTACTATTCTCGGGTTCTGATAGGGCCGGATGAAAGATATGCTCCGGCCATTAGGCATTTATCAAATCTTGGCATTTTGTTCGTTCTTGTCATCTAAGCTTGGGAAGGGACCCATATTGGATGTAAATTCCGCGAAACCTTTTGGTCGCGTGCACTCTGCGAATAGTGGGGGTGTCCATGGGCGTGAAAAAGTCAAAATTTATCTAATCAATCAGATAAAACCATCCCGAATCTGATTAAAATTTCTTCCAACGATTTAAATTCCTATCTAGGTATCTTTCCCTGGAAAATCCGGTGGCGTCAATTGTGGGACATGGAGTTAATGTCAGCAGTGCACATCGGGGCGGAGTAGGGTCCACAGGTATTTTAACTCAGAAGACTGTATAAATTGGTGACTGACGTCGATAAGTTCACAAATTGCAGAATAACATAGTTGTAGAATTACATAGTTGTGATGACGTCCTGATATAAAGTGTCGGATTGACGCATGATCCTATGCAGTCGATGAAAGCTCGATGTGTACGGAGTACTCGGTACATGTTAACCCAGTACATTAGAGTTTCCAAGATTAGCAAAAGATTTTCTTCGTTTTCGCATCGGTTGAGCGGGTACATACAACATAGGTATTGCTACCGTATTATGATAAGATTATCAATCAGATAAATACTAGTCCACAATACGGTACTAGTGCGGGTCGGAAAGTGACAAAATGTCATTCGTTTCCTGTACAAGGTAGCCCTGTAGGCTCATGCTTCGGACCCCTCACTGAATGAGGCATTTAGACCGGGCTAGTGGAGTCATGAAAGGAATCCAGAGGGTTTTCTTTTTCCGCAGCGTGTAGAGACAGGTCCATCTGCTCCTAAGAAGCCTTGGATTATATAAAAGATTCTGACTATTTTTTTGAACCAATGGATCGTAGGGTTTGGGTTGGTGCTTAGGTGGGGAAGTACGTGTGAGACACAAGACTTCCCAAGACTTCGGGAAGCCCTGCATGAAAGCTTAGTGCGGCTTGGCAGAAACAGTAAATTACTAGTTCACATTTGAAAATACATTTTCGATTTACAAAAAATTAAACCTTGGAAGCTCCTCATTTCCTCCGGCCCTCTCGCCCAATGATCCTGGTGCCCACTGGCCCCCGGTGAAAGACTCTCGTCTCGCCCAAATAACCCCGCCACTCGATCAGTCTCGACTGATTAAATCTAAAGAGCCAAAACACCAGTCTCTGCTCGCTTATCCGAAACCGGGACTGTCGTCTCAACGGGTGTTACCGGATCTTCATAGGGACGGCGCAGAATAAAGGCTCTGGCTCTGGACTTGGCTCTTGCGACGCTGTTCATAGCCGGGTCAATGACGGGAATAGCTCCACGCTTCTCACGGTAGAACATCAGCCCGTAGCCAACCATGACACAGATCCAGTATAAGTTGTAAGCGATCACGGAGCCATAGTCGGCGGAATTGGTCCAACCAAGGAGCGCGTTGAAGATACCCCAACCGCCACCACCTCCTAGCTCTGGGTTACAGCAGTTGACATGCCAGACACTCTGGCGGATGTCGTAGGATCCGGCACCAGAGCCAGTCTCTGAGGCGTCGCCTCCGATGATCTTGTTCCAAGCATTGTTCTCCAAGTACCAGACACCACGCGAGAAAAGACCCGCGGCAACAAGGTAGAGGAAGCAAGTGGATATAATCAAGAATATCTGCATCGAAGTCTGTCGTCCACCTCTATAGGTATGTTAGCCCTGTATCTTCCGTCAAGCCAATTGAATTCGACATACCGGTAGATAATATAGCCCACTAAGATACCGGCCAAAAGGCCGCAAACAACGGCCAGGGGGAAGGATGTGGCAGGAAGCCCTAATCCAACACCACCGACATAGACAACGGCCTCGAGACCCTCACGCAGAACCGTGATGAATGGCAGGATAAACATAGCATATTTCTCCAACCATCTCTTGACGCGACCCTTCTTAGTCTCGTTAGGGTCGTGCTCGTGTTGAAGGGCCTTAGCGAGCTTGACACGCCATTTATCTTGAAGTTTAGACACGCGCAGAAGGGCAGCTCCCATGATCGTAATGATAATGGATGCGATAATTCCCAGAATACCCTCCCAAATATCCTCAGTGCTGGAGAAAGTGTCTGTTCCGAGGCCATAGAAACCACCGATCATGCCTGCGCCGACTGCGAGACAAATGAATAGACCCAAGCCGCATCCCAGCCAGACCTGTTTCCTTTAGCTTATGAACTTGCGTAGAATTATAAGAGCCGTTCACATACTTGTTTCACCAGCCTTTTATATGTCGGGCGATCACTCTCGTAGAGCGACTGCTTCAAGAAAGCCAATAGAACTGACACAACCACCGTTGTCTCGAGGCATTCTCGAAAACAAATAAAAAACACTAGTTGAATTGAGTTAATAAACAATTGTGGTTTCCAAAAAGCAGTGCATGAACTATACCGGTGACAGCAAAAACCTGGTTACTACCCATGATGCTTGATATGCACGACTTTGGCAATTTCTCAAGGTTCAAAGGAGAAGAGATTCACAGAATAAAGTCATTGGAAAGCTAAGTAGCGCCTGATAAGGACCCTTGTAGCTCCCGGTTCGCAAAAGGTATTGTTGGAAATTTAAAAAACCAAAATTTCAAATTCCAAAATTACACGAGATACGACCTTGCGAACAAGCGTTCGACGACCCACTTTGTGCTTATCCGGTTGAGCTTGGTGTTTTTGGGGGTTCCTCGTATCCGTATCAAAAGGATTTCTTAACCGTCTGGGGTTATGATTGGCGGCAGTGGATCTGTCTTAAACACGTACGATCACATGTTCTAGGGTCCAGTCACCCGAGTTTTGTTGAATCGTAAAAATACCCGACTAGTAGCGGTAGCGGTCATGCCATATCTCCCCAACTTGGCAGGTGGACACAAGTGAGTGACAATTTGGTTCGCCGGCGATTGATAAAGCGAGCCCCAAAATGCCCTACAACCGTTTCTACCATGGTACACCTAGAACTAAACCAATGGAAAGTTGACAGCCCCCCACGTGTTTATGCTCTAGACTCCCGGGCCACATCTGATTAGGTCAAAAAAACCCTCCAAAGTTGAAACCATGGAAGTTCCAAGGTCCCGAGGTCCGGAAGGAGATTGATTAAGATAATCGGGAAAGATTAACTTTCCACCTAATCTTGTACTGCGCTAGGATTGTTACAAGCTTCCGTTCCGAAGCTCGTACCTAGTCTTTTTGTTCGCCCTCTCTTTTCGTTCGGCATCAGGAATTTATTCTCCTACTTCCTCCCTGGCCAAACCTCAACCATGGCTATTTTTCATGGAATGCTGTTACGTCTTACGGCAGTACTACTTCTTGTGAAGTACTGTCAGGCGAAGACAGTGAATCTGGATTTCAACGTCACTTGGGTCAATGTGAACCCTGACGGCCTCTATGAGCGCAAAGTGGTGGGTATCAACGGCCAGTGGCCGTTACCTGTCATTGAGGTGGACAAGGGAGATCGCCTGATTGTCAATATGTTTAACGGGCTTGGGGACAAGGAGACTTCCATCCATTGGCACGGCATGTTCCAAAATGGCACCAATAATATGGATGGCCCGTCGATGGTTACCCAATGCCCAGTTGCTCCTGGTTCCTCAATCACCTACAACTTTACCATCCCTCAAAATGGTACTTACTGGTATCATTGTCATACCGATACCTGCTACCCGGACGGTTATCGGCAGGCTTTGATTGTGCACGATGACCAGGCATACTTCAACGATATGTATGATCACGAGGTTACCGTTACGATGAGTGATTGGTACCATGAGCTTGTTGAGGACATCCCGTTCATTCGTGTGCAAAACCCGACGGGAGCTGAGCCTGTTCCGGATTCATTCCTCTTCAATGACACTTTGAACACCAACATCCCTGTCGAAGCTGGAAAGACCTATTTGATGCGATTGATCAATATTGGTGCGTTTGTGGCGCAGTTCTTCTACATCGAAGGTCACACGTTCCGCATCGTTGAAATCGATGGAGTATACGTGGACGCGCAAGAGGCTGATACTCTTTATATCGCCGTTGCGCAACGTTATGCCATCTTGGTGACCATGAAAAATTCCACGGAAAAAAATTATCCGATCGTGACAGTTGCCGACTCGCTTTTACTTGATGTAATCGATCCTTCTCTCAAGCTCAATCAAACCAATTGGCTCGAGTACAACAGCAGTGCGCCGCACCCGCAGGCTGTGATGACAGTGGACGTTTCCTCCGACCTTGTCCCATACGATGACCTGAAGCTTGTTGCCCATGATCGGATGGAGCTTCTCCCAGACCCCGACGTGATTGTTAATGTCGACGTTATCATGGACAATCTGAATAACGGTGCGGGTTATGCATTCTTCAACAATATCTCCTACACAATGCCTAAGGTCCCAACGTTATAC